CTACTCCATAGATAAAAAATCAATACTATCGACATATGCGTATTATGTGTATTAATTTGATTTAATTTATGTTAATAGTTTACAAGAAATATTGATTGATTTACCGATATGTAGCAAACTTCTTTACCATAAGTGAGAATTTGCATAAGATATGAAATTAGATGTAAATCTCTGAAAGAAACGTCAAATGTTGTGACAGCTTATTGATTCTCATAAATGTATTTTGTGATATTCTATTCATAACATTTTAACGAAATTGTTATTGTTTGCGATATGTTTATTTAAATGATAGGAAAGGCAGATTATTATTACATATGTTGTCGTATGTATGGAGCTTCCGTATCAATATTTGGAAAAGGGGCGATATGTGCATGCATCTGTACCACTGTGTGTTGTACCGTACCTGAGCGCGCGTACTTCAGCCAATATAATTGGTCAACTTTAATTGCTTATAATTTGAAAAGTATTATAGCCTCGACATTTTTGCATTAGGATTTTTATCTTTAAATTACCTCAGGAATCCGCCCTTAAAAGATAATGCGGTAGTGGTGGGACACCCTGTATAACAGTATAACAGTTATAACAGTATAGTATCCAGCGAAAAATGATTCGTTAATTGACGTCAAAATGACATCAATAGACATTGAAATCGTCAAACCAACGTCAATTTGATATCATTTTGACGTCAATCAACGAATCATTTTTCACTAGGTATATAAATGTCACAAACATGAAGTCTTAAATAGCTCAGTGGAAAGAGCGGTTGTCTGGCAAGCGGAAGACACGAGTTCGATCCCAGCCGAGTCTCTGATGTTTTTCATCTCATATGGCATTAAAAGTGGACATCTACAGATACACACAAGAGCAGCAGCACCCCCGGCCAAAGTTTCTGATCTTTCTTTCGTGTGGATACAATAAAATTTATTAAATCCGAAGAAATCTTTTTGAATTGAAATAATTCTATATGAATATTCTAAGAAGTTCTGAGGAACTCCACTATGGTGCATGTAACTTCCTAAATCATTCTTATAGTATTCTTCCACGAATTCCTAAGGAAGTACAATTCAGGAAAGGAAAAAACTTTAGAAACACTTAAAGAATTCATCGTGCTATTTGGGAACACTTCCCGTATCGTCAACGTATTTCGATTGGCACGCTATATTTGGCACGGAAAGAATTTTTTCCTTGTTTCTTGTATTATTTTGAAGGCTACAACATAGCTACATTTTGCAAACAAGCGAGAAAAAAATCTTACATAAATATAATTATCGCGCATAGCCATGTGCCGCAGTAGTCGTGCAAGCACGTACTGTTTGAACATATTTCACTTTGCAGACGCAATATTTATGAAAGAAAGCATTTTTTGCTTGTTCTTTGAATTATTTTAAAGGACACTATAGAACCACATTTTGCAGATGGGTGTGGGAAAATTGTTATATAAATATATTTGTTACGCATAACCATGCACCGTACCAGTTGTGCAAGCGCGTACTGTTTGAAAAGATTTTATTTAGCAGACGCAATATTTATGACGGAAAGCATTTTTTACTTGTTTCTTGCATTATTTTGAAGGGTGCTACAGAGCCACATTTTGCAAATGGGTGTGGGAAAATTGTTACATAAATATCATTGTCGCGCATAGTCACGCACCAGTCGTGCAAGCGCATACTGTTTGAATATATTTTATTTTGCGGACGCAATATTTATGAAGGAAAGCATTTTTTGCTTGTTTCCTGCATTAATTTTGAAGGGTGCTTCACAATCAGATTTTGCAAATAGGCGTACATAAAATTTTATTCTAATATAACAGTCGCGTATGCTCTTGTGCCGTACCACTGGAGCAAAGCATATTCTGTATTTCATGTATTAGGTATTTTACTTTATTTTGTACATATATATTATACATGTACAAGTATATTCATGCATGTAATGAAAATTTTATAACTTTTAAAATTTGAACGCTTGTAAGCTTTATGACGCTTCTACGCTTCGGCCCGTATGGCCTAAAGCCTGGAAAAGATTTTCTGGCAGAGTTATGGGCTGCGAAATACATAGGCAGCGGGACGCAGTGAAGAGTTGGTGACGTCACAACTAAGGAGAGACAAGGACGGCGTTCGATAGTTTGTTCTTATTTAACTAACTTGACCCAACCTTCCTGCTCTTGCGTCCGCGTAACAATACGCTTGTGTGGGATATGTGTATGGACATAAACTTACGCACAGAGGCAGAAGTTTTCGGCTCTCCCCGCATGATGCCTCTGAAGTCAACTCAGGATTTGTCTACGACTCCTGTAGACCTTTAAGAAAAAATAGTATACGCTCTTACAAAAAAATACTATTAGTGATAATAGTGACTAATAGTTTCACTAGTTCAGTGCTAGTAGTGTCACTATTAGTGCTAATAGTGACACTATTAGAGTGCAAACCCATGAAGCGGAGCGCGGAACGAGAGCGGAACCAATCACGCGCGTTTCACAGTTTTCGCTCATGATTGGTTCCGCTCTCGTTCCGCGCTCCGCTATTCCGCTACATGGGTTTGCACCCTTAGTGTTAATAATGGGTGTTTTCCAGTTGCGTACACTGTGTTACACAAAACCAGTTTATTGGTTGCATATTATCTTACAAGATGTTTTAGATAATATGTAACCAATAAACTGGTTTTGTGTACGTGTGTGTCAAGATGTGTTAAGCAATTGGAAAGCACCCAATGACACTAAGTTACACTAATAGTGCTAATAGTGAGAAGCTTTTGAACTGTTGAGTCTGGTGATACACAGAGGAGAGTTTTAAGCAGATTGCATACCCTCGTATAAAGACTTTGGCTAGATTTTGGATTGTGCTCTTAGTTTAAAGTTTGGAATAGATTTCAAGTGCATTCGGCTGAATACATTTGGTATTTGGTCCGTCTCGGCACTCTACGTATAACGCTGACGACTTTGGCAGACATCTTGATTTACGATTAAACGAATGACAAAGGACAGTGGATTCGATAAAGAAGATGGATGTGGAAAAGGAGGAAATGCAGTTAAGGAACACTCAGACTGAGTTGAGTATTGTTGAAACGCTGATATCACTCAAAGATAAAAGTATGAGAGATAACCTACTGATTACTGATATGGGTATAAGCAATACTGAAAACTCGCAAGCTAAAGGTGGTGGGCCGGATAAATGCATAAAAGAGAACAGAGCGAGAAATATTGCTAATAAATATACGAATAGCAGTAAAGGACCGTTTGAGGTTCACGTAGAGGCTTGTGAGGAGGATAGTATATCTAGTAAGGCAAAGCCAAGTGATATAAAATTTGGCAAAGAAATGGCAAAAATTGTCCCGAATATTTGGCGCACTGCCTTTAACCTAAGAGCTTTGGGAATGAGAAAATTCACGGTTTCTTTTCCTAATGGCGATATGGCTAATGAGCTGATCAAATTATTTTCTACTAAGACTGATATGAGGATAGCTAGTATCAAATGGGATGCATATATATCTGATTATAGAATCTGTACTAAGGTGACAACTACTGATTTCGACTTAGCTGAACCAGCGGAGGACATTATGGAAGGGTTAATGTCGCCTCCACATTTGAGAAATTCTTGGCCTAAGTTACTAAGTGTCAAGCATATAATTTTTCCTACTCAGGCCAGAAGCAAGGGCTTCACTTTGCTTGCATTTGAGGGCACAGACTACCCGAAAGCTGCAATATACTATGGCAAAAAGATACGCTTCATGCCATATATCCAGAAATCCAAGAGATGTCTAAATTGTCAAAGATTTGGGCATTTCATGGAACAATGCAGAGGGGGTTCTGCTGCTAGAGTTTGTAGAATTTGTGCTAGTAAAGATCACTTCGCAAAGAATTGCAATGCTACCTATGCCAAATGCATTAACTGCATTAGAAATAGACGCTCGGATATAAATCATAGAGCTAGCTCTAATAACTGCCCAATCTTTATAGAGAACAAGAGGACGAAAATTATAATGGCCAAACTTGGTGCCGGCCCATTGGATGCTGCTGCTTTCTATAAAGCCGCTGGATTTCGACTGGGTGACTGCTGATATGATACAGGATATAATAAAGAAGCGGATGGACCTACGTTCGCGGACTATATTCCTTGGATAATGGAAGAAAAAAGTTACTCGGATCAAGGATCTTTTACTCCCAGTTCATCTGACACGGCAACAAGAGAAGTCCCGAGGAGTTCGACGATGTCTTCTGGCTCTTCGTTTGCGACAACTCCTAGTATTGATAAGAGTGTACCTAATAAAAATAATACACTCATGAAAAAACAACATTTGGATTCTAGTGATAACTCGGACGCCAGAAAAAGAAAAAGGTCAGTTGCTTTCGATATATCGCTCTCCGGGACAGAATTTGACGGTAATCCAACTGATGATGACGGTAGAAATATGAATAAAACCATTGTGCATGATATCCGCTTGATGTCCTCTGTGGACCTTCAAAATGATGAATATGGAGTCATTTGCCTTTCGGACAGGGTTGGGGGGGGGGGCTCCTGGCTCGGTTAATAGCTATAGCTCTGATTCTGGAGATGTGGAGGGAAAATAAAGATTGTTCTGGCGGTGTGAATGCGTCGGTCAATTCTGACGTCTTTACATTGCTGAAATTTAATAGCTTTCTTACGGAATATAACAACAAAATTGTGGGGCTACAATCAGAAGAAAATCCGCAATTAATAATAACAGGATCCCAAAATAGGGTGATTAATCTCTATTCGTTTTTAACTACTCTTATAAACAAATATCATACTGAGTTCTTTAAACCAGAGGATCTAAATATCAATTAAAGTTAACTTTAAATCTAAACATTAGTACAAACGGAGAGTTCGATTCAGTCAGTTATCATAGTATTTTAATATTTATTTAACATAGCCTGTCATCCGTTAAAAATTTAGAATTTAACTTTTAAAATATGTCTGCAACTATAAATAAATTTAGCATTGTACAATGGAACTGTAGATCTCTCAAGGCCAGATTTGGAGACTTCTCTGCTTTGTTGAAGGCTCGGGATGTCCCGCCTGCTTTCATATGTCTCTCTGAAACATGGCTCAGTGATAATGATCTTATCTCAATTCCTAACTATAATCTTATTTCTAACAATAGAAATGGTTTAGGTGGTGGAGTGGCAATAGCGTCACTAATAGATATTCAAATATCCAAAACTATAAACAACGAATTGGAATCCCTTTGCTTGTCTCATGGTTTGAATATATGTGGCTTGTCTTTCCAGTTGGATAGTGTCTGCACATATATCTTCTCTATATACAACTCTCCTAACAATCAGTTAGTGTTAGACAACGCAGGTTTTTGGGATGAGTTGTTTGGGAAACTTGACAAATACGCTAATATAGTCATAACTGGCGATTTTAACTGTAGACATCATCTCTGGGATAAATCTTCTGCGTGCAATACTAATGTTAATAGCCAGAGACTAGTTAATGCTATTACTGGTTCTAACCTAATGATACTTAACAATGGGAATCCTACCTGGTTTTCAAAAGATGCATTTCATAGTAGTGCTTTAGATATCTCTATTGTTTCCGCTCCTCTAGCATATGCTAATTGGGAAATAAGTGGTTGTAGTTTTGGTAGCGATCATTCACCAATTACCATAACATTTAACAACAAAGTACCAGCTAAAATTAACTGTAGACCGCACTACATCGTTTCTAGAGTTGTCTGGGATGAATTCACAAAGCATCTTGATGACGCAATTTCCAAAGAATTTCCAAATTTAAATGAGTTGAGGGGATCACCCAATCCTGCTCTCGACTATGAAGCTCTTCAGTCGAAGATTGATATGTCGCTTATTCAATCTGGAGCTAAGGTTAGCAACAGGAAATCTTTTAAACGGAAGCCTCCCACACCATAGTGGGACGAAAAATGCGCTGCTATACACAAAGAGAAGGTGGATGCGTTTCATGAGTTTAAGAAAAGACCTAATATCGATAACATTAACAAATACAATGAGATATGTAAATCAGTTAAAAGATTTAAAAAAATCAAGAGAGATAAGTACAAAGAATTCTGCGCATCTTTAGGTAAAGACTCGGATATAAAGGAAACGTGGAATAAAGTCAAAGCCTTCAAAAACAACAAATTTTTAATTGATAAATCTGAATCTCAGTGAAGTAAAAATTCAATCAGCTAAAGATACATTTCATAATGTAGTTCATGAGAAATCCTCGGGTAACATAAATAACTCATTTGTGAAGGATAATAAAAAGGAAAAAGATATTACGACTCATCCATCTATCGAGAAGAATGGATAATGTAAAAAAGCTTTGCTCGAAGACTTCTCTAAGAAAGAATTTTCCACAGTTGTAAGCAAAATTTAAAAAAAAAAATCAGCGCCTGGTCCTGATATAATCTCCTATGCTGTTATATCACATTTTCCAGAGGTGATGTTTGAGGTCCTTCTGGCTATATTTAATGCAATGTTTTTCTCTGGAAACTTCCCTGCTAAGTGGAAAGAGTATTATATGGTCTTCATACCTAAAGCTGGATCGGACAAAACGAGGCCCATTTCGTTGGCTAACACGATTTTTAAAATTATGGAAAGACTCGTTAAGACCAGGCTGGAATAGTGGCTAGAGGCTCATTGTATTCTGCCTCCATATCAAAATGGATTCAGGAGGGGTAGATCTTGTGCATTAAGTATCTTGACACTGCAGACATTTATTGCAGAAGCGTTTAAGGAGGGTTGTAGAATGGGAGTAATATTCATTGACATAAAAGGTGCGTTTGATAATGTTAATAGTCTAAAATTACTTAGAATTATAAGGGACCTTGGTATACTGGACTGTTATGTCAAATTTATAAAATTTATATTATTTCATAGAAAAGTTAACGGTTATTTTAATGGTCACTACTTAGGTGAAAGAATTGGATCAGTGGGGGTTCCGCAAGGATCCGTGTTGAGTCCTTTGTTATTTAACTTATATATGTCCAGGATACATTTGAATCTGGAAAAGGATATACACATTATCTCTTACGCTGATGATGTTATTATTTTTTACAAGAATAAAAGTATTAAAGAAATTTCGTTTAAATTCAATTAGACCCTGAAAACGTTGGATATCAACCTAGCTAGACTTAATTTGGACATATCAACTGACAAGACAAAATGGATCCTATTTGATTAAAAGAGAAGGTTTAATACAAACCAGAATTTTATAATTACCCATAGCCTAAATATAACTTTATCAGACAATATTATCCCTTTAGTTCGTTACTGTAAATATTTGGGATATATCTTTGATTCTAAAATGGACTGGTCATTCCATATATTAAGTCTCAGGAAATCCTGCGTAATAAGGATTAATTTATTAAAAGGGTTTGCAGGTATAAAATAGGGAGCTCATCCATTGATGCTGGAATTGGTTTATGGAAGGACTGATTAGGTCGGTCCTTGACTGGGGCGGTATAGTTTTACTAGATTATCCTGGGAAAAAAATTAATATCCTTAATAAAATCCAATATAGATGTATACGATTGGTCTTGGGTCTAATAATTTCCACTCCCACGAATGTTCTTTTGGATCAGATGGGAGAATGGCCGTTGAAATATAGATGGAAATATTTAACCTCTAAGATTATCCTTAAAAGTCTCATTTTGGGCCCGAACGCCTTGATTGAGGGTATTACATCAATTCTCAGAAAATATGATCAAAATCCTATTGTTCAATTGGACAATGAAAGTATTAGTTCAATAGAGAAATTTATTTCGGATAATGAAGAGTGTCTCAAATCAATATGTGTAGGAGACAGGCTACCTCGTCCTCCGGCCATTGATAATCATTATTATATCAGAACATATAAATGTAATATTATCTTTAATCAATTTGACAAAATTAAGGATTTCAAAGTTAAAAAAGGTAATTATTGGTATGATAAAAATGATTACGGAAATAAGAAATCGCAGGTGGGTATGGTCAGATTGGCCGAGGCTACGATAAAATCTCTTGATCTCGATATTGAGGTGTACACGGATGGTTCCATACAGAGTGGTGGTGGTGCTGGGTCTACTCGCCCTGTCCGGAGGTCAGAGAGGCTATTAGGGTTCACGACTCCTTGACTATCTCGTTTGTCGAGGGTTTAGCCCTTTTGAGAGCGGTTAATTTGGTAAGAGATCATGCAAAGAAGAAAGTTGGGATATTCACGGACTTCCTTAGTTCTCTTATGATGCTTAATAACATGGATCTAGAAGGAAAATGCAAAAAAATATACTATGACATCAAAAGTGCAGTCAACGCTGCAGCTAAAAAAGATGTGGACATCTCTTTCATATGGATCCCCAGTCATCGAGGAATCCCGGGAAATCATCTGGCGGATATGTTGGCTGGTCTTGGAGCAATTAGCACCGAAACACCGTTGGATGAGCTTTGCTACCAGAATATAGATGACGTCATACTACGTAATAAAACTTCTATTCGTATCGAAGCCATTCAGGAGCTGAAAAATGAATTTCTAGACAAAGGAAGCAGATACAGGAGTAAAATTGAGTCTGTAACGCAAAAGCCGTGGTTCAAAGACACCTGGGA